GCAACGCTCCCGTTATATCCGAATCTAATTATACGGGTTAGGCTAATTAATCTTAATATTATAGGGCTTCTTTATAATATTAAAGAAGAAGGGGTAGTTTTATAAAGCAAAGAAGGCTAACCGTATTACTATAAAGTATATCTATATACCTATTATGCGGAAAGAACTAGCCTCGTTCGTATATATATAGAATAAGCACCCCGTACGAAGATAATCTAATAGACCGCACGTAAGGGGTAGTATACTAAGCTATTGCTATAACTAGGTAGAGAAGGAGGGAAGGCTAAGTATTAGATATCTAATCGATAAGGCCTACTTTAATAGTCTTATAGAAGCTTGCGCAAAGTAGAGTACGTTTATACTAGCGAACGCATATAATAGATCTTAAATTATTTGCTAATATATATAGATTCTAAGGAGTATATTCTATAGGAGATACTTAAGCTCTGCTTAAGTATTCTAAAGATAAAGGGCTTTCCGCTCGGTCGACTAAGCTCGTATAAGTTTGTACTAAGCGTATAAAAGCCGTAGTACTAGATCGTATACGAGAACCTCGTAGAAGAGCTACGTAAGGTTCCTAAGGATATACTATATAAGACATTAATTCCCGCGGCGGTAGGAAGTAGAAAGGATTTTATATCGACTCGGAAGATATTATATAGGCGTTTCGCGATTAGTACGATAATAACCGCTCGCGTACAGAGCTTAAGGAGGCACTAGAGGGTTTAATTAATAGAGAGCTTTTAAAAGAGGATAACTTAGAAAGTAGTAATAGCGATATATCGGAGGTTAATTATTAGTCGGATAAGTCGGAATAGATTATCGGTATAATAGGATTACGTTACGTTCTAATGCTCTAATAGGACTATATAYACCGGGGATATATAGCTAATATRCTTCTATCCCTACTAGTATTAGCGGCCCCGGCTATAATCTCTATAAGAACTCTATAATAAYTATRTAATAAATTTATRCGCCTAYATATCTATATAATASTTATTAAGTAGCGTACGCTCTATCCCCCGTCTTTACGTAGTTATACCTATAGAGCGATAAAGGGTTRCCCCTTTACTAAAATCCTCCTYTAACCCCCTTYCTATAGAYRATATTCCTTCCTTTATACGAACGTATAYRACGCTATATCTACGAGTCCGCTTTATACCGATAGGTTCTAAGAAGTAAGYAAAGAAAGTATAGAAGCGTATATACCCTACTCGGCCCTAATTCGACTATATAAAGTATATACTAGATAATAAGAAATRTTACTTCTACGGCGATTATAACCTAATACCGCCGGYACCTTCGAATAAACYRATTATACGGGCGAYACTAATACCGCTACGGACGAATACGCTATCCTTAAGTACTATACTAATTATTATTAACTCTAATAAAAGCGAGATATTAGACGACGAGGTTCTTAACGGACATATTAGTAGGAGCCTCCTAGATAAAGCG